GCGCCGCCCGTCCGCTCGGCCGGCCCCCGCCACCCGCCTCGCCCCCGGCCTGGCCCGACCTGGCCCCGCCGTCCGCCGGGGCAGCGCCGCTGGGGTGCCCACGGGGGGTGGAGGAGGAAGAAGGCGACAGTTGAGGGCAGAGGAGGTGAAGGTGCCTGCCTTCCCGGTAGCCTCGGTGTCTGCCATGCCCGCTTCGCGAGGGGAAGCGCTGCAACGTCTGACCTACTCTTCTCTCCACTCTCTTTGTGCAATAAAGTTCGAAACCAAAGGTTTCCTCTCGTACTGTATTTTATTCATGCCCTTTTCCCGCTCCTACCCCGTTGGGGAGATACTGTTTTCTGTTCTTTTCTGCTTAGTTGACATGATGAGAGCCGTGCTTTTTAATATAATTTTGACTCTACCTCACTCTTTTAAGGCAGTAGTCATGGAAATGCATTCTTGGGGAGGAAGGGGGTGCTAAGAAAAACATTTGTAAAACTTTTTAAAAAACTGTTGGGATCCTGTAAAAGGGAAGCTGGTGTTTGAAAAACAGTTTCGGTTTTAACCCTTTTCAGTAAGGTAATAATCCTTGAGATCTATCATTCTGAAACACTTCGTTGAAACGAACATTAGCCGATGCACTTTTGTTTTACATCACTTTGGGGGGGGGGGTAACCGAGTTTGGGTCCTCTGGATCTCCCACCCCCTACCAAGTTTCCCACATGTTTCTGTCTAAACTTAAGTAAGAGATTGATTAATACTTATTCTAAAAATAGACATTTAGAAGAAGTATCCAGTGTTTGCCTCCCGTGCAAAAGTAACTCCGGCCGGGGAACGACAATAGTTTAAGCCACAAGGCTTATTTTTTCTTTGCCTGTTGGGAAAAAGGAACGGCAGAAAAGTCACTGACACATTAAAGATTAAAAGACAGTTTTGAAAGGACCTGGAATATGACCTATTTAAGTTCGTGATACCTTCCTAAGAAGTTAGAATTTTATCCTAGCCTTAGCTTGCATCACTTCTGCCTTCTAAAGGTTTGGTGTAAAAGATACTTTGGTTGCCAGCTATTGAAATCTTTTTACACTCACGGCTCATTTCCTGCTTTAAAAATAAAGCCCAAACGGTTATTTTAGGTGGTGCAAAAAATGAACAAGTTGTTTTAAAAATACTGTCATAGTAGGATAGCATTGTGATTGATACATACAAGGTTTCTTCTTAAGAATAAATACTGATTGGTAATAGAAGCGCTGTCTTTGATTTTTCTGTATCCAAGTCACTTTTTCAAAACCTACTGTATTGTAAGTCTTAAAACACACATACACACACATTAGCAGTATGTCACTGCTGAGAAACTTAATTAAGATGCAGTAAAGTGTTTTTACATAAGGATTGGGGAGGTGATTTTATTTACAAACACTGAAGTACTTACAGTGTTGATGATGCCATAGATTTGTTTTTCCTTAAGATTTTCTGCAAGCCGGCATCAGTTGAGTAGAATATTTTTCCCTTACAGAGAATGTAGGACAGTGACTCTTTCTTTGTGAATTAAAAGGAAAAAAAAAAAGTTTTCTGATGGATTTTTTCTTGTCTTAGCCAAAAGATCTTTTAAATTTTGTTTTATTCATAGATTCATAATCTGTAATTCTTAGAAATTCCAAGTGGACTGTTTCAGACTTTTATATTCATTAATATTTTAATGTTCACTTGGAGCGTGGTTGTAAGTTATACTTATGTCACGTCTCAGGAATCAGTAAAAATTACAGTTAAATCTGATTGTACTTTTTTTTTTAATGGATACATCTATTCAGAAAGCGAATAAATCTTTGACTTAGACTGAAAACTGTTAAAAGGCCACTTCTTGTGGAATTTAAAACTCTGGTGTTACCCCTTTTTGAATGATTTTTTTTTTCCATGTAAGAACCTAAGGAAACTTAGAAGCCTGATTCATAAAATGGTACCTTCCTTTTCCTGCTTTCTGAAATTCATTTTCTTGATTATATCTGATTAATAGGAATTTTCATTTTTGTAGACAAGTAGCTCTATTTTATCTCTCATCCTAAGGCATTGGGTTTTATTTTTTGGATATAATACGGTTATAGTAAAACCATGTATGTCCCACTTCACCTTATTTTAAAAGTTTTATTCGTTTTTTTCCACAGTAGAAAAAATTGTAACATAATGGCTTCCAATATATCGCTCAAATTTATATTATCATTTATTCCATAAAATAATTTATCAGATATGGTTATATAGACTTGCTTATAGCAGCCTGTGTCAGTCTTACAGGCATGTGTTTCTTGATGTACAGTGTCACTTCCAGTGATGGTTTCTTTATTGAAGAGTTAGAGCTCAAATCTGAATTTAAGAATAAACTAGATAATCCAGGAATGGAAAAAATGCAGGTATTTTTTTTCCTTACTCATGTGTGAACTCATCTCTACTGCAGAATCACTTGAGGCAATAGTTCGTGGTAGTTCAAATATTTAGTTAGCATTTACTGTGACAGAGAATGTAGTTAGTAGAAAGAGCATTGGGTTTGGACAAATAGGCCTGGGCTTCATTCCTGCTGTTGCCACTACTATCATGTGCCTACCCTCCAGAAATTTATGACTTACAGAAGTTTATTAATCTTTCAACCTTGGTTTCCTTATCTGTTAAATTAGACTACCACCTACTTTGTAGGGCTGCGAGATAATTATAAAGTACCTCCTTAGGGACTCAATGATAGCTATTCATTTTAAAGCTTTATTTTAACTTCCTGGCTGTGGGACCTTCAGCAAATTTCTTCTCCATTCCTCAACTTCCTTGGTCACAAATGTACTATATTTACCTAATAGAAATGTGGGTGTTATATAAGTTAATACATATTAAATGCCTAATGTTTCACAAGTGCTCAGCAAACCTTTCCTATAATTTTAAATATTATTCTTAATTATTATTACTACATTTAATACACTCAGCCAGAAGCTGCAAGAAATCCAAAGATGAATTACACTGTTTTATCTCTACCCTCAAGGAACTTTTGGGGACACGATGACTAATAAGGCAGAATATATGTCATAAGAAAACAGTCAAAGGAGAAATCACCCTTGGTGAAGTAATGGGAGAAAGGACAATTATATATTTATATTTCCATTTTTATTTTTTTAATAAGTAATTCATTCAGGTAGTCCATAATTCAAAACATATAAAATGTAATACAGCAGACAGTCATGTGATACACCCTCCTGCTCATTCCTATTGCCCAAGTGTTACCAATTTCTTTTTTGTCCTTTCAGAGGTAATTCTGTCCGTATAAAAGCAAATACTTTATGTATTCCCCACCCCGTGCCCCACACTTTTTTTTTAACAAATGATAGTATACTATATACATTATTCTATATCTTGCTTTTTTTCACCTAATACGACTTAGCCATTGGTTTATATCAGTACATAAAGAGCTTCCTTTTTTTTTTTTTTTTTTTTTAATGAGGCATCTCATTGTATGGGTGTACCTGTATTTATTAACCAGTTAGTAAGCTGATTTTATTTTTAGGTCTTGTATGACCTTTTAAGCTAAGGGAATCTGTCATTATGCCTTTATTTCTTTAAATGAAAGACATTTCCTTTGAATGAGAAATACCAGTTTCTGACAGGAAGTGGTTATTTGAACTGCCTTACTACCTTTTTAGCTCTAGTTTTTAAAGTTTTAGTGAAATGATCCAGATGTGCATGAAAAGGCAAGTTATGTAAGAGTTAACTCACAAAGTGAGTTCAGTCTGAATTTAACTCTTTTTTGAGATTCTTATACCCTGAACAGTCTTCCTTCTATTATTGCCGCCAAAAAAGTGTCTATAGTTTCTTCCTCTAAATGAGAAAGAACATCTCATGTAGTCCATTCTTTTTTTAAGCAGACTATTCTCAATGTGATATTACTACTCAGTAATGCTGATTAGGGTTATAGCTTTTTCCCTGTGGTTTTTTTTTTCCTTAAATTCTCATCTTTTTCTCACTTAAATTCTCACTTTTTCTTTGATGATATTCCAATATTAGTGGAATTATCAGTGAGTTTTTATATTAGATACCTAGGTAAATAGCAATAAATAATAATAATAGCTAATAATATATAAATAGCAAGAAATGAATGAGTTTCACTTATATGCTTGTCTACTTAGACGATTTTGTGGTGTGTGTGTGTGTGTGTGTGTGTGTGTGTGTGCGTGTGTGCGCGCGCGCGCGCGCAGCAGCAACTGTAGGGAGTGGGTGGAGGTCCCTGGTCAACCAATTGGACCAAGTAATACTCATTTCAACTAGAACACAAAAAAAGTTTCAGTACCTCTCTTTTTTGGCTCTTCTAAGTAGCATTTAACTATAGGACATTTTACATGCAGTTAGTATATTTATCTTTAAAATACACATGCTGTGTTTTAAGTTGCTTAAACTTAGAAAGAAAATGGTAACTAATAATCCAGCAGCAGGGATACACATAAGTCTTTTATCTTTTAAAAAAAAAAAGTCATTAAATGAAGCTGTTGTCATGTATCTCATTTTTTGTATGCTCAAATTGACAGTTACCATGTGCGAAAGTTCTTAATGTAAGAATATTGCCTTACTAGTA